TACCCGGAGTACCTACTAAAGTGTAAAGTATATCAGTTACTACTGAAAGAAAAATTAAATTATTCAAACCTTCTTCTTTGGACTACAACTGTATGTAATGTAACGATGAAAATTGAGGTATTTTATAGGATAAATTAGCCTATACAAAGAACGGAGCTTTCAGAAATTGAGAAATTCAGCTGAAATTTCTTATGAAGCTTTGAAGAAATATTTGATTTAGAATTTTATACATTTTTTTTATTACCTATCATAAAATCTAGTGCATGTACTACACGCAAGTTATTTGATGCGTATTCTTGAACCGACTGTGGTTTACACTTGAATATGAAAATGAATGTGATGATGATGATTGAAATAAAAGAATCTCATGAAATTCATAATAGCAGGAAGAATTAGTGTCAGAAGAATATGCTTACAAAATTATGAAACGGTCATATTTTCAGTTTCCTTAACAAGTGCACAATAAAACCCACGATTCGGGAAGTTAGATGACGTCAATTTCTCCAGTTTCTTTTGCCAACAGAAGCTCTCAGGACTATCTTAAACTTATCTGGTTTTTAAACCGCAGTAATTCTGTAAAAATACTTTGTGTTCATCTTTCGTATTTTAATCTAACAAATACTTAATTTAAAGTCAATTAATGTATCTGCTTTTACTGTTGGATAATATTTTGCTATCAATCTTTGCTTTGTTCTTTGTATTAAAGAAGTGCTATTTATGCAAGTCAGTTATTCCCCAACTGGTTGCAGTTCTACAGTACAAACGCGTTTCTCTATAATAAACTTTTCCTAACGTGCACTTTTTTGCCAGTCTAATAAAAAGGAGAATGTGTAATGGTTGAAATGTTAAGTTTTACGGGCTGAAATGCTATGAAAGAAGTAAAACCTTTGCTGGGCAAGGTAGAAACAGTTGGTAGTACCTAGGGAAAGTTTCGGATTCGAGTTTAGTCAAGTACAGTATAATTTAAAAAAATCCGATCAGGATCAGCAAATGTGCCAAAAAAGGTAAAATAGGACAAACTAAAAATCAAATGAATTATTCATTAAGTTAAGTGTTACATTACATTACGATTAAAAATTCGATAAACCTTTTTACTGCAGAAAAATCATTTCCCGGAAATTCAAATATTGCAGGCCTGCATTCCATTTTAGCGAATTTCAATTCGATTTAAAATCTTGAAGCTCAATAAACGCACGGAGCGAACTTTAGCCAACTTCTCTTTCCATCAATACGCGAGAGCGGGGAGCTTTAGAGATGGATGCTTCCCGAAAGTTTGCTCCTGCACAGCATAGATCAATATCCCGGAACTTCGGGAGTCCGTTGCCATGGATACCAGCCTGCTGCTAGACAGTGTGCCGCCCACACAGGCAGCTCCTCCCCAAAACGCTCGCCCGATTTCATGTTTTTTCCAATTTTCTTTTCCACACTTTTAATGTCTTTTTGCGTGTTGTCATTTCGCAATTAATTACAACCGCTAACAAATTTTGTATCTACCTGGCTAAGGTGGAAGGAAACCAAAGAAAGTCACTGAAAATCAGATTCATGGAGTATTCACTTTTCTTTTCATTATTTACCTTCTGGATCTACATATTGGGTGTTCCATAGCATATTCATGACTGGTTTTCGATGCTCTACTTTGGAAGATATGGGCTCTTGAAGAGATTACTGGGAGTTGGCTCATCTCAAGTTACATTGAGGCTTCAGTAGCTTAAAAGGGCCCACAACTCACTCAATACTTACGATACTTGATAAATATGGGGTACAAAAAAACAATAAAAATCCATGCATATAATAATTTATTCAATAAATATTGTATAAAATAGAAGCGTATGAAAAATTATATAGTAAAGTTACTGAGACAACTGACACAACATGGCCACACCTCTCATAATCCAATGTGCTTGAGTCTCAACAGTAGGCAAGGTCATTGCGATTACGAAATTAGTGGAATGTCCAGTCGTAGACAATACACCTCTTCTTTCCGCCGTTTTGTATACTGGACATAAATAACTGTGCTTTTCCACTAAATCGTCTCGCTTGATTGGGATAAGCCATATCTAAACAATAGAGTTTTGTGCTTGATTAAGAAACAATTACAAATTAATAATATTTGCATACAGGATGATTTTTGCCTTAATCATCTGGAGGTGTGGTCTCGGGTACATGGGGAGTTGGAAAAAACATTCATGAAACGGTCATCAAATTAGGTGAAAAATTAACATAAAAATTAAAATTCCGTTTATCAAAGCGTTCTCTCATTAGAGTTTTATCAGATAACTGAACAATCAGCATTAAACTGCCCAATTTCACTTCAGAATCAGAAAGTTTTCATTGTTCACAAGAATGTTTGGTGACTTTAATGCTACTCGATTTTCAAGGAAAGTTGAGTGGTAGAGATGTAAGCTATTAAAAACTAAGCGAAACCTTTAAATGATTTTCGATGTTTGGTACACTGTAATAATTATCCTAAATTCTAGTGTAATTTAGTATAATTTATACCAATAGTTCGTTAAATGATCATTGAAATACTTTAAAATGTTGAGAGCGCATATTCCAGGGTTAATAAATTCGATAAGTACATTAAAAAGCAATTTAAAAAACTCTAACAATCCCGTAGATATAATGAATATTTATTTAGTTATTTATTATAAGGAGAAGCGACTATGATTGTTAAGAAAATCGCATTTGCGACACATTTATGAAAATAACGACTAGTTAATAAATTGCTAATCATGGTCGAAGCTCTTCAGAAAACTTTTCAAATTTTAATAGATATGTCGTTTTTCGTAGATTTTCAGTTATATCAACGAAAATATCTGTTGAATTTCTCTTATATTCCTTTCAGAAAAATGCGCCTATTAAAAACTCTCAAAACAGTGAGTTCCAGAAGTAATGTCTAAATTAATTTAAAATTGAGTTTGTTTTTTAAAACATAGCTTGGATCCTGCAATTTTAATTTGTAAATTCAACGTTTTTTTCCAAATTTACTCAAACAAGGTGGCCGAAAACTAAATTGAGACCATCAACTTATTATCTTTTTAATTTGCAATTTTCAATTCCCCATTGAAATTCTAAGTACGATTCTGAAATAAATTTGCAATTGAAAACATCAATAATTAATAGCAACGATTTCTTTCAAATTAAATGTTCAAAATTAGAGCCATTGTCGCCATTCACGGTTGCCGAAGGCGATAAATAAACTCTTCTTGCCTGTTTTCAACCATTTCGGATCTTCTCTTTCAATTACTACAGATTGTTTGGCCTATCGAAAAAGACGTTCGATTTAATGTAACCACACAAAAATAAAGCCATTGTAGTTAGGTCTGGCGACCTAGGAATCCCTTCAATAGGTCCTCTCCTTTGTATCCATCAATTGGGAAAAGTTTTATCCAAAAATGTAGGCACAATGGCAGCATAGTGTCGAGAAGCACCAACTTGCTGGATAAGCAGTTCTTCGTCAGGAAAGTCTGACTCTAATGGATTGGAAAATGGAGACACCAATGTTGAAATTAATGCAAGTTGGGGAAATTGTAGATAAATTTATGGTCCGATTACTATTCCGCGCACTATTCCCCCCGACACATAATTTTTTTTGGGGATACCAGCTGTGAACCTTCATCATCCAATGCGGATTTCTTGTTTCCCAATATCGAGCATTTTGTCGGTTCACGATAGCAATCCAAACGGAACGTAGCTTCATCGGAAAAATCCGTTTTCTACTAAATTCTAAAACTATCGAAATCATCTGCCAATATCCCTTGGATTGGAATAACTTTGTGGGGATGATATTTGCGCTTTCGAATTATTCGTTGAACAACATACAGGGTGGTTTTTTTATTGCGATAGAGTCCATTATTTCTGTTGGTGTTGAACTTTTCAAAAATAGTTTCATATAAAAGTTGTTGACGCACAAAGTGCGCACGTTTTAAAAATATCTTATATGATACAGAGTGTCTCAGAAAAACGAGGCAAGATCAAAGTGTATTTTTTTTTAATAGAACTACCCATTTTTCATTAGTTCATAAAATGCAGCTTGAAACGCTGCATATGCATCGTAAATTGTTTTTCTTCTTACTTGCGACGTTGGCAGATTATTGCCGTATCGTCAGAGATACAAAAAAATACGCTTTTACAATCACCACAGATCCCTTAAGAATTYTATTGAACCAAAATATCAATACATTGTACAGGGTGTTAACAATGTGGACTTCAATCTAAAACTTTTTAACGCAATATAACTTTTGTTTTTCAAATGGAAGTACCTGTATATTAATCCGTCATTACATAGACAATTTCCAAAGTTACAAATTTGCATTTACACTTGCTGTGAAATCAACTGTTTTCAAATTATAATTTATTTTATTTAAAAATTTCAAAAAGTTGCTACATTTTGTAAGGTGGCTATGGAGGTGAGTAATTGAAGTGTCAAAATTTGAATTGCCGCGTTTAATTGATCATTTACCTAACTATATCAAGGAAATATTGTGGTATTTACGTGACGGAGCTCCAATTCACCATACAGCTCAAATTCATGAGTAAATAATGAATTTCCTGAGAGGTGGATAGGCAGAGGTGGGCCTGTTCTGTGGCCACCGCGTTCACCCGATTTGACAAAAATTGATTTTTTTGTTATAAGATTAAGTCAAAAACGAAATTTATAAAATAACTCCAACTACAAAAGATGAAATGAAGGAACGAATTACAACTGTTTTTCGAAGCATTAATGATATTGTTTTGAACTGCTTTAGCGATTAATTTCAAAAACGTAGATTTTAATAGTTGCTTAAATGTTAACGGAAATCATATTGAACATTTATTTTAAAATATCACTGTAGATATAATATTACATTTTTATTTTTATAGACGGGTGCAGTTTTATTGCATTTTTTGCTATGAAATTCTATGCATTTTATAAAACGTTGCACTTGCATTGATAAATTTTTTTCATTTGATTCATTGATTATGTCAAGTATCATCAAAATTTGACACTTATTTAATGAATTACCACAATAGCCACCTTAAAAAAAGTAACAACTTTTTGAAATTTTTAAATAAAAGAATTTATAATTTGAAAAGGGTTAATTTACAGCTTAAATTGTAAATGCGAATTTGTAACTTTGTAAATTGTCTATCTAATGACGTATTAATATGCAGGTACTCCCATTTAAAAAAAAGTTTTAGATTGAAGTCCAAATTGTTAACACCCTGTACAATCTATTGATATTTTGGTTCAATAGAATTCTTAACAGATCTTGGTGATGATTGACAGAAAGTGGTGATTGGAAAGGCGTATTTTTTTGTATAACTGATTTTTTTTGCTTCTACAATGAATTTTTAGATAACATGTTTTTTAGCGAAATTTTACTAAAATGGCGAAAATCTGCCAACGTCGGAAGTAAGAAAAAAGCAATTTACGGTGCATATGCAGCGTTTCAAGCTGCATTCCATGAGCTAAAGAAAAATAGGTAATTTTGTTTGAAAAAATACACTTTGATACTGCCTCGCTTTTTTGAGAGAGACACTCTGTATCATAAGATATTTTTTAAATGTGCGCGCTTTGTGCGTCAACAACTTTTATATGAAACTATATTTCGAAACTTCAACACCAACAGAAATAATAGACTCTATCGCACTAAAAAACCACCCTGTATTTCTGCATGTGTAAATTGACCGTAATCTGCGAAAGAGAGTTACATGAATTTTATTCCAAACAAAGTAAAAAGTAAAGTCTTCATTTTCATCTCGAGCAGAACTTCCAGATTTAGGCAAACAACACCAAATGACCAAATGTACATGAGTAAATTTAAGTAGAAAATAGGTTCTTCCATTTGAAAGAATGAAGTTGTTAGTCGAATTTATTTTTGGATCACCCTGTGCATATAAATTTACCATCTTTAAACTGCATTTAAAAATAAAAATTTTGGGACTCACTGTATGCGTGTACCCAGAACGTAAAATGCCTTGCGAATGTTTTTACGTAAACGGTGCTCGTTTCAGGGCGTTTTCTTCAACATTTGCTTATAAACAGTCAAATATTTGCGATCGGTAGGGCTTGCTTTCCATAAACTAGTTTTCTATAAACCAGTTTGTCGAGATTTTTTGGTGGTTTAACGCGAGCGGGTTGAAACTATTTGATCATTTGGCCGAATCTAAATATTTCGATTTAGTTTTCGAGTGTTAGTTAATAAACATTGCGGATTAGTGGTGATAGTTTGTTACATTTAATTCTATTTGGCTTCAGAGGTTTACGTGGACTTTTACTTCGACGTGTTGGTAAGCTTTGAGCACAATACAACTTCTTTTTGTTCAGTTTTCAATCAGATTTTCTAACGGTATCTACAATTTTATCGTAATTATTTCCAAATTAGCTCATTTCTGTGATAATCATTGACATACGAGCTCATGTTAAAATAAAAAGTATTGTTTTTGTATTCGGGCTGTTTTCAGTCAGTTCTATTCTTGACCTGAGACTAATTCATTTTCGTTTAGGTAAGTGCAATTGACTACTTTGGAGCGAGCACATACGTGGTGAGTACCATTCGTTTGCTTTGTTATTGCGTATTTGGTGCGTTCGATGAATACGAACTTGTATAAAACCGAAATGTTCTCAAAATTGAGGTGGATTAATTTAGAGGATTATTGTTCAAATTAAGAAAACGAACTCCTAGACATTTGCGCAATCGTGCTGGTTTCAACTATTTCTTGAGGATTTCCATAACTTTCTTTTCTTTTCTTCGCTTTGGTGGTCGTATTTCTTTATTAAGTATAATTGATTAATTGTCGCCTTAAAATAGTTAAAAATGTAATTTTCGTTGTCATTTTATAATTCTGATAACAAAATATTTGAAATTACTAGAAATAATCTATTTCTCCTACTGCAATATTCAATACTCAGTATTAATTTCACCATTAAAAAGCACTGAAAAATCTGTGCTTTATATGAATCCGTGTCTAGAATACGTTTTGATTTCAAGCAAAATTTAAGTTCAAATGATAGCATCCGATCAGAATAAGATTATACAATCTGTTCAATAATCCCATTCCAATTGTATATTTATCAATTGCATTTTCAAACTTATTATCAATTTTGAATCTTAACACAAGCCCTAATGTGACTGATCTATTAGTCGTCATGTAGTTCGTTGAATTTTCCATAACAATGTTGCGAAACACATTCAAAACAAAAACATAAAAAAACTTGGAACAAAAATGAACTAACTGCACTGATATAATCACCCCAGATTGAAACTTGTTATCGGCGAAATAAAAATGTTAAAAAGGGACTCAAATGGCAGAAGATATATTAGCGTCTTGTGAAATACTGACTCAGTCAAGAGTTTAACCAAGTTATTTGAGTTTTTTTACGAAATAATCGCAAAAATAGGCTTAACACTTTGAGGGCAAATTTAAAATTAATTTTCGTTGAAATGTTTTCAGCATTTTTAAGGACGATTGAAATAACTCCGTTAGAGTAACGCGCGACATTTCAATCTTTATTAATTACTTTAGTAAAGCTATTGAATAGGTCTGGTCAAACTAAAACCTGGCAATTTTTGTTATTTAAATACCCCGCTTTGTAAAAGACCATTCCACGCAGTCTTCCAATTAGCTGAAAATGTTTGCGTATGGAAATAGGGTTTAGTTAGCCGCATTTATGATTTCAAGTCTCTTAAATTTGTAGTATATTCAGATTGGTAGTTCTAGTGATTTTGCTGCCCACGTCATAGTTTCTGTATTGATTTCCTATATTGCAAATATAAAAATCTTAGTTTACTGGAGGAATTCTTGCGTACTTCATCGCATCATTAATTAGCACAAATGTTTCAACGCGTACTTTCGCATTTAAAAACTAACTAATTACAGCAGTTCAGAGGTACATAATTTGATAGAAGATGAAGCTAGAAATATGATTAGAATAACTTACATAAGGCACAACGTCATATAATACTTTTGGAAGAGATTCGTCGATAATCATTTTTTCACCATTCCATCTGGCACCATCTAGAAACAAACCATATACGAGGACACCATCATCGGGTGGTTTCGTGAACTTGGACACTTTTAACACCTAGAATTGTAATAATCAAATAATTAGTATATGTAATAGCCTAAAATTCCATTCAACCGGCTGAAGATATTCAATTGCCAAGTAAAAAACCGAAATACCTGATACTCAAATGTCAACAAATCAATAGGAATAGTATATTTTCGGGCGAAGTTCTGCTGAGCTCCCGTTAAGAAAGCTTGAGTGAAGAAAAATCCGGAAATCCAAAACGTTATTGGAGCTCCTTCATCCATCCAGCTCTGCAAATTAACAACAACTCAATAATTAATTGGCTAGTGTGGTAGCGTATTTAAATGTAAAGTTCGAGTATTTTTCAGAGAATTCATAGTTCAATTCATGCAATTTTCAGAATGTTTCTAATCAGTATTTAGATGAAACAGAAAAATATTTCTAGGTGATAAAGAATTTCGCCCATTATGATAAATTTTGTCCAATTAGCTAGATGCCGCAAATTAGGACAATTTGAAAACTTGGATATACATATTTTCAGAATGCAACATGCCACAAAACTCACTAACGAAAGTTTTCAATCTTTCCTTAAGTTTTGTACACTTTAAACTTAACCCATTAGGCATCAATGCTATTTGTGTCATCAACACAATTTGTGTATCAAAAAATCGGATTCCGTGGAATAATAATACAACAATAAGAAATATTGAAAAATTTTCATTAGTTATATATGATAATTTGACTCTTATTTACAAAAATCAAACAAAAAAATAAACCTGAATAATAAAAGCAGAACTGTCTACTATACTTAATTACTAGGAACTTGTATAGAATTTAGCGATTTAGCACTAAAGTGAGAAAAACATCAGGTTCTCGGGAAAGGTACATTTTGCGGATCCACATAAAATAATAACTTTATAAAGCATATGTATATTACAATTTCATAGATCTGTTATTATTATCCCTATATTTATGTAAATGGCAGATTTTCCCATTCACTTTAATAACATCATGAAATATGCCAAAGCTTACCTGTAGAAATGCCAGTCTTGCAAGAAAATCGTTAATGTAGCTGCCCAATGGCTTGAGAGAAGGATACGATTTCTTCGCCCACATGCCTGGAATTTTGCCCGTTAGCATGCTGGTAACTACTTCTTCTAAATCAAGTGACATTACAATCAATCCTAGAAAAATTACAATCTTTTAGTTGAAAATATAGCTGTTCACGATCAAAAAACGGTGAGGAATCATTTTAAACTAAGAGGCTTAAAGCTAAAACTGACCAAGTCTGAAATATATATTTTTGTTAAATGCACTTTTAAACCGAACCGAAAATTAGATGAGAATCGTTTTGGAAACTCTGTCATTAAACACATATTTTAGTGCACCTATTTGGGGGGCGTTGGGGGATTTCGTCAGTCTTTGAAGACAAATATATATATTTTTAAATTATTTGGTCAACCAAACACAAATACGGAATTTTGGATAGTAGCTTTAAGCCGACGATATATTTAAGCAAATTTTTAACTTGTAAAACGAAACATCTAAACAGGGAAGTAATAATAAATCAGGAAGTAAAAATAGAAATATAAACTCATCATTCACTTTATGGAAACCTTATTGACAAAACATTTTTATGGAACTTTTTATACTGCTTATTCGATAAAAAAGAAAATGTTGCAATAAAGTGCATATCCGCATATATTAGTGTCAGAACCGTTGCACATAAACTTAAGTCGAATATAAAAAGTTAGAAGCCACCTAAGCCTCGACCTCTAAAAAGCGACAGCTTCAGCAGCGATAAAAATGCGGGGCGCATAGAGTTCGCAAAGACAATGACGACAAGAATACATACATAACACAGATATGAGAAAATTTTCATTGTATATATTATTCTATTTTATGCTGGAGTTAATCTTTCGTGGAGCTCAATTTGCTCTACCGGGTTTTCCACAAATATTGGCTGCTGTCCATGCCTCGAAAATTATAGGTACAATGAATTTTGAGTTTTACTAAAAATAAATCTGATCCATACATCTAAAATATTGGAGAAAGGGGCACTTTCGGTCATACTAAAAATAGACGTGAATTCGTTTATTTTAAGTGGCGCGCCGTGTATATTACTAAAAATTTAATTGAGTTGAAGTTGTATCCCTATCTCTAACTGTTTTGGAAATATTTGCCTTTGCATCCATCGAAAGATTCGAAGGTACTACTTTTATACAGGTTGTTCTTAAAAAAAATGTCAAATTTGCCATATAATTGCTATATAATTTTTTTAAAACATTTTTTAAATTATAACGTCTGTTTCTCTCACCAAACACTACTTCCATTAGCTTGTCTATGCCTGAAATCAACAGATTTCATTTGGTTCGTGAGACGCTCTGTATAATGCACATAGAGGAGGAAAAAATCTATACACGCGTGGACTTCAGACAAAAAATAAAATTTGGTCAATGGCATAAACTTCTGTAAATTACGCTAAAGCTTGTATTTAATCAATTTAAAATCAATTAATTTTAATTATATCCATGTATTCAAAGTGTAATTTTCAGTTATTTTAACAAGAAACTCAAAAGCAGCTGATTGAATAAAGCTTTTTATATATAAGCTCTAAATTAATAATTGTATAATATGTATCTGCCGACATAACCCAGAAAGAAACATAATGTTCAATAAGCTGCAAATCAACAAATTAATATACATGATCCCAATTAACAAATACATAGTAAAATTTATTTCCAAACCGCGTTTTTTAAATAAACCTGTTCAATATGCAAAATTTCGTTATCAAAATAGCGTTCTGAAGTTAATTATGTCCTTATTTGCTAGGATCAAAATAGATTTCAAATCATGAAAATCAATCAAAACATAATTAAGTCAATGTTAATAATAGTGTTTTAAAATTTAATAAAGCCTTGGAAATTTTAAATTTTGGAAGAATTTTAACTAAACAAATAAATTAACAAAAAAGTTGTGGTTGTCGCCAAAGTATTTGTTACTATTATATTATTATATTCTGTTACCTACTTTCAAGTATACAGGGTAGGTCAGAGTAGAGTTATGACAGTCAAGTTTATTTTTTGAAATCGAATAGCCCACTTTTTTATCCAGGTTCAGGTACTACATTGAATTCTAAGTATTTTTTATTACGTACTATGTGTCTAAATTCAATAGTTTTGGACATAACGACATTTGAATATGGGAATACAACAAAAGTAATAATTTTATTACTAAAATAAACGATATAATTTTAAGGAAATATTAAAACAAATGTTCTGTTTTTTTCTCTGTTCTCAAATTATATCGTTCATTTTAGGTAAAACATATTACTTTTGTTGCGTTCCCATATTCAAATGTCGTTATGTTCAAAACTATTAAATTTACTTACATCGTATATTATACAAAAAATTCTTCGAATTCAATGTAGAACCTAAATCTGGATAAAAAAGTGGGCTATTTCAATTAAAAAAAAACTTGACTGTCATAACTTTTTTTGACCTACTCTGTATACTTCAACCTAACAGAAAAAAATACTTTGACTCCAACTGCAACACTTTTATATGGACGTTTTTCCCAGTCGTTATTTCTGTACGATCTAGTAGGGAGGTCTCGCTTCGCTGACTCATCCTGTACAAAGTAAAAACACGATAATAATAATTTTCCTACCTTCATAGTCAGGGAATGAAAATGCACTTGGAATTTGAGAATGGAATTTAAGAAACCGATATTTGCTGATGACCTTTTATATGTTATTAACCCTATTATAATAAATATCAGATCGTTGATCCATAATTATTTTTTTCTCCAATTTACTAGCAGTCCTCTCTTAAAATTAATGGTCCACTTAGAATATTTACTATGCCACAATATCCTACCTTTAATAGCCTTTTGAACGTTACGCAAGCTATTTCGAATAATAGCCAGAAGGACATTAAATCTGTTCATTTCCTGTACCAGGACCGTGTTCATACTTTGAGCATATGATACGGGGTATTTCTCCATGGCAGCATCTCGATCAAAGTCATTAGGCAACTGAGCTAGAATAGCACTGGCTACTTCCATTACGATTTCATCTGGAGATTTCGAAGAGCTTGAAGCCGACATTGCATCCTAAATAGATAGGATTAATTTACATATCATTGTTAAACCGTTCAAAGTGATGCCAGCGACATTGCAGCTGATTACTACTGTGAAAACGAAAATGTGCACGATATTTTAAGTGAGTACAGTGTACAAATCATCTACTTTTGTGAAGACTGACGAAAATATATTCGGAATCAATCAGTAAAACAGTTTACGTATTACAAAAAATTGGCATTTTTTATTGAAAATTTACGTTAAACTGTTCAATCTCCGAAATACCACACTTGCTTCAAAATCCACCTACATGCTTTTTTATTTGCTAAAAATCCAATATCCGTTTAAAATCTATTAAAAAAACATGTTTAAATAATTGCGAAATAAGCATGTTCCCATTTTAAACGCGCCGACTGCACCAGCAAAAACAAATTAATTACACCCGAATAAAATGATCTGGATTTCGTATACATGGATGAGTTTGATAAAACATGCATTACGCTTACCTGGATTACAATCTTTTCCAATTGAGTTAATTAAATGTAAAACTAAAGTACCTAATTTCGTTTAAGTGAAATCCGGTTACTGCAGAACATGAGAATATTCTGGATTAAATTCTGAATATTTTCCATTGTTTTCATTCACGATTATTTTTTATCTTAAAATTGATCTGTAAATTTTAAAAAAGTAGACAGATTTTTTATCCTGAATCGAATGTGGTTATGGAAGATAGGTCTTACAATATTATCTTATTTCTGAAGGTTTCATTCAATGTTCTTTTTTTATATAAATATCTGCTTTTTCTTATGGACTGCAAGAATATGTGTTTATTCTAGGTTTCGTACTAGTTTCGTGTATTTTATAGTTCGTTCACGTGATTACAGAGCAATACACACAAATTAACTACATAAAATTGAGCAACCAATTTTATAGTTTAATACTCTAGTGCAAAGTATAGTTTCGTTCTTCAGTTGTCACACTAACTTACACTAGAAGCGTGCTCGCCTTGAGTGTCTTATATATATAATGCTTTTAACCTTCGAATACATCTAACCAATAAGCTGGAAATATAAGAACACTTACCCGCTTTAGCAGCTATGGAATTATAGTACACGTAAAAGTTAGTATTATGATTTATTCAGGGCGAGCAAATAGTGCATGGGCAAGGAATTGCATTAGAAAAGTACTCAAATCTACAATTGATTCTAAATTTGCTTTTACCAAGCACATTCGTATGCCGTAACAAATAAAAAATATCTTAATACTCCTTACTTAATCCAAAATATTTACTGTTTTTCATTAATTATTCGTAAAATTTGTAAGACTTGTATAAAGGAGCAACATACATATATTCAAGCAAATATATTTATCTTAACTGAAAATGTACCTTTCAAGTAGGGCCGGTTAAGCAATAAGCATTTTCAATGACAATTGTTTGTTTTATTAACATTAGAAACCGCCACTTTTTATAGAAATTGTATACATTTTAATGAGCATTATGCTGAATTAAATCGTTTATTGAAAGACGTTTAGAATTATTCATCAAATGCCCGGCATTAGACGAAATTTGAAAATCTGTAACTCGTTTTATACGAAATTTATAAATATCAGTCAGAATAACACTGATTAAAGCGGAAGTTTTATTTAAATAAGTCGAAAATGGCATCAAATATAAATGATTCCTGCATTTTTTGTATTTGCAATGTATAAAATCAAATATCATTATTTAGTTTTGCCTGTTACAACTTACCATCAGCTGATATTGGTCCTAAAGGAGCATTGGACAAAAAAAATAGTTTTAATTTTATGTTGGGCTTGTGGAAATTTGAACATTTACCAGAATACATTGGTTTATTTTCTTCTTAACGATAAAATAAATGTTTTAACACACTTTAGTTGCTATGAAGAAAAATAGGTACATTTTAGTTACATCAGTTATAAATTGCACTCAAATTATTACTTGTTGAAATAGTGTTTTCTCAATTTGTCCAGATTTATTATAATTTTGCGATTTCAGGGACTTTTTACCAAAATGTTCCAAACCATCATCCGATATACTCGAGTATGTTCTTATTAGCAATGTATTTATTTAAATTATTGATTATATTGCTTATAATCAATGCTTGCAATGCAGCAATCATGCTTATTGCTTAGCTATCAAATGTCGTTCTTTAATATTGTAAGCGCATTAAATGTTATGAAAATGGCAGTCCCTAAAATGTTGGTTTAAGTAGTGCACCGGGGAATGCCTATTTCGTTATCAACTTTCAAATGCTATTTATTCTAATAGCATTTCCGCTTGCTAAGTTTAAGAAGTTTTCCAATATCCGTTAATGCTACTTCGTTATCAAATTTAAATCGAATTTCAAGTTTCTGGTTCAGATGTGGATTCCATGTCAATAAGTAGCGCACAGAGTCTTGCATCACCTTCATTTTCCTGCTATCATGGAACGTAAATTTTAAATATAGTCTATTTTGATGCTTTATTTATCACAAATAAAGACTTTATTATTTCTGCCAATACTCATCGGTAGCGAAGTATTCGTGTTGACATTTATCAGAAATAAAATATAACAGTTAATTTTCTACTTGAAAAACAAAACCAAAACTTAAATGTTCTGCAAATTTCCATAATTTAGTAGTTATAAACAGTAGGAATTCATTTTTGATTCTTAGTAAAAATCTGTTTTCAACGTTGTGTGATTAAATTAATTTTCTGAATTGTTCTGTTAAAGTACAGTTGTTTACAATATCTTCGATCCTATTCATTAAATTCGATCAATTGCTCTATCAGGTTTTTAACTTTTGATGAAAAATTGGAATCTATAATTGTCATAATACAATTTTACAGATATTGTATCCTAACATAATAAAACCAGTTATTAAAAAGCTGATCTTACCTTTAAGTAGGTTTAAAAAAATATATATTTTGTTTAAATGCGAATTAGTGGCTTGAGTACATATTGGGTAAATAAGGCGTCGGTTAGATGTCGTCTAGTTCCACTCCAACCGACGCCTTATTTCCCCAATCTGTAAAAAAATGTAGGTGAACATTTTAAAGTATTATTGGTTAAATACAATCATTATTTGCATTACACTGCTTTTGATATGACACAAATTTTGTCTCTCTTGATTAAATCTGAAGAAGTAGCTACATTTGATGGTGATAATGCAGATCTGAAAATAACGGAATTATAACCAGTTTCTGCAAAATATTTTAATATATTTGCTGATTGAAACCAACGCGATAGCGCGGTTTTAATTTGGAAACAAGGCGCGTTAATTTTATTTTGAAAACACGTTTACTTTCAGAAAATCAAGATATTCCTGATGATATATTTGGGAACCCATATCATTAAACAATTGAGCTGAAAAAAATATATTGCAATATTGCTGTCTTCTAATGGGCCTTTTTAGAACAATTTTAGCCTTTAAAATTTAAAACTCAAATACTCACCACACGATCCTAGGAAAGCAGTAGAAAAAAACCTTTTAGTTACTACAAATATCAAGTATTCATTTACGTAATGGTTTAAAAGCAAATGTCCCTAAATAAACTTATCTAACATAGCAAATTTATTAAACACTAAAATTATCTTAAGTAGAAGAATACGTCTTGAAGTTTGTTGACATATTCAGAGCAAGCAGATCCAGAAATTTATTGCAAAGTAATGTAAAGTCGTCAACTTGCTTTTAATGCACGTAAGTGATTCTGCTCAATTCCATTTTAAGCGATTAATTAAGAGACACATTTTTCATTACCTATTCGCTCACTGTTGTCACTCAAATTCCCATCCTGTTAGCCATAACGTAACAATAAAAAGTTATTACCTGAGTTAGAAGGGTGCTGCTAAGCAGCAAATTGGTTTCCTGCTGATCTTTCATAATATCGGCGTTTTCGTTCATGCCGAAAACTTCTGGATGAGTGATTAGCGGCAACGATTTTGTATAGCTCATGAATTCATCGTATTCCGCTTTATCGGGACAATAATACGCTCCTGAAAAGCCACAATCAGTTTGAAATATTTATGGTGCTATAGAGAGTTCTATGAGGTGCAGTTAAATCTTGAACCTTGCAGTAGACCCGTTATTGCACGCTTAAATTTGATATCAATAAATATTTTACTTTATAAAGGGTGATTCCAAATTAGCGTCTCTTCTGTTCGGAAATATATTAGCTCTAGAAGATTCACTTTTAACTTTCCCTTATGCAATATTTTAAAGTAGTTCGGTGCAATTTCGAATTTCGTGCAGCGGAAGATTGCAAATAAAACTTTGACAATCTCGCTTAAACTTACTAAAAAACTTGAAAATTTACGATTCTATCAAATTTTAAAGAAAATTTAAATCGGCATGTATCCAGGTAGCTATTTATTGAGAAGCCGGTCAGAAAGCTGTGCTTTAAGATGAAATGTCGATATAAAATTGGACAATTTTGTGAAAAACGATCATGTAAATGCTTTGAAAACTCAATTAAATTGCAAGACTCAACTTAAATTGAAAAGTGCAATTTGAAACTCTGAATTCTTTGCAACTAATCAGTAGTAAACGATTATGAAATGCCAGAGAAATTATTAATGCATTTTCTCTATTTGCTACAATAAGAATAAAGCATTGAGTATTTACGTTACACTAATATGGGAGGAAAATGTTTTCTGTGCTCCCCACAGAAATGGTATCTCCCTCCAATATCTTCAGAGGAACGACCCAATTTTGAAACACCCTGTATAACTTCGAACACTTTGATATTTTTAGAACCGTACCGTCGAATACACAAAAAAGAATAACAAAGTTGATCTGTTTCCGAAGATTACATTACCTAACTCTTGTTTAATTATATTAATTGCACTAGTTAGGCAATTAATTGCGCTTTTATTTTGACCCTGGACATTTCATATTTTTTTATAAAATAAGTTTTTAGTTTAATTTAGGCCCGAGGTTGCTTTGTAACGTGTGACATAAACATACTTTTCGGACTTGAAGTATAGACTGAAATTTACAATTTTAAGCTTTAAATCACACATCTGAAATTTAAAAAATCTTGATCAAGTTCCAAGATTGAAAATGTGACGAAGTATACGATAATAAAAGAAAAAAAATTAAAAATTAAAAGATGCATGAAGTGACTAAATATCCTAAGAACAGAAAAAATACACAGAGAAAATCTACACTTCTAGGCGATAAAAGTTTTTTTTCATAACATGTATTTTGTATATTCATATGAAAATGCAACATTATTATAAAATATTACTTCATTAGAGAAAATATGTCGGAGAGTAGAGCACAGCGTCTACTTTGTCTTAATAAACGAGTAAAATAATGATGATTTAGAATGAATTCTAATAGTAAAAAAATGTAATTGTCAGTCAGCCTATTTCTACACATCTGTTGAATTTGAAAACACTGAATTAAATTAGCTGTGAAATACACGTAGTTTGTTACTGTAAATAACTTTCGATTCACGTTTGATATTGAGACATTCTTTGATAACTAATCATGCATTGATTCGAAAAATCGTGTGAAAATAAAATCTGCACTTTACATGTTGCTTGTTTCGTTGCAAACATCCTCAAAAAATGCTAGTAGTACTAGAAAATAATTATTAGCTCCAAAAAAAAAATGTTTTGGTAAATATTCTTCGTTTTTGCTAAAGTTTATTCGGTTTTTAAAATCTCATTTGGGTGCTTAAATATTATCGGCCCCTAAGCTTTAAGCTTTTTAAAATGAAACCGATTGTAACATGAGAAGATTTAGAAAATAATTACTTTTTTAAATGACACAATAACGAAAATCTTGCCCTTTAAAAATATTTTTAGATGCTCTACGCTAAACTAACCAGCAATGGTGTAAAAAGTGATATAAAGAAGCCCGAGCTGTTTATCAGGTAACTCAAGGGCGACTTTTCCAGTTGATTAAATATTTCCATCTGTATTTGAACTATTTGATTTCGAAAGAATCGAAATAATATTTATTTGCATAAAATAATAAATATGAGCGATGTGTTTGCTTAAAACTTACCGGTTGGATCAAATGGATAATTTGAAACATCCACCACCTCGGGACAGTAAAACTTTCGCAAAATTGTAGTTAAAGTTCGCCGATCCCAGTCATCTGTTACCCTGCCCCCATAGTTACATTCACCGGTAAGATATAATATAGCATCAAATTGGATATCCTGGAAATTGATTATGTAATATAACTAGTCATGTTGGTAAAATAATAGATAAAACCCAACATTAAAACTATTTTCTTGCGCTTACCAAATATTCATTAAGAAACATTTGCAATTGCATCACACTGATTCTCAAATCAGTCTCATTAAACTCATATGGAATATTCCATCCCAGCGGTCCAAATTTCCGACGCTCCTGAATAGAGGCATGGAAAAAACATAAACTGAATAAAAGTTTCTTGAACGCTGCTGATTGCTTGCAATTTTCGAACCATTCCGGATCGGAAATAGGATCGCTCATGTATGAACGAGTAATGTTTGCTCGCAAACCTTTCGGCGGTTCGTTGGTCATTTTGACGCCGTTTTGCAACACCAAAACAGGAAAATGTTCCGCCGGATAAGACGTGAGCCACAAACGAAAGTCTGGATGCGTGGAGTCGGGTGTTAAATTTTCACAAATCTTGAAAAAATATTATATATAAATACCCATATTTATTGTGAAGAAAAAAATGGTTTTTCACAATTAAATTAATCTTAAAATTTAAAATTTATTATGCTGCACAAAGCGACCAAAAAATTGGGCAAATTGTAGTTGGGAAAACAAAATTAGAAACTGTTAAACACTTTTCGAAGGCAGGAAGAAAAAAGCCAGAAAGAAGATATGGTTAGACAAAAATTGTAAAATGTGTGTATCATTTTTGTACCATTGAATTTAATGCTGATAAAAAAGACTTAAAAAAACGTGTCATTATAAACGTTTTGGAATTAGTGCTGAAAACAAAGAGATTTTAAAATTTGATTCAATAACTGCTCTCGTTCAATACATATGGAAAAAGAAAAATTCTATAGGGTCGTCGGTGGCCGAAATAATGATATTTTACTCCATTACATTACATTATTTTGTAATTAAATAAAATAATTCAAAATATGCTACTATGTTTTAGCGATTTAAGCGCTAAACCACAATTTTAGAACTATTTTGTTGAAGTACATCCTCAACTTTCCATAAACGTAAACATGTATCTCAAAGAACTGATCATTTGTAGGAGTCGAGAACTCATTTGCTAAGTATGAGGTCCTTTTTATGACAAACGGGTGATTTCACTCCTCTGACTGCTATCAAAGGGAAATGAGAACTATCAGGGTTTTGTTCTTGTTCAACATAATGAAACAAAGAAGCAAACATCTTATGATTGAGACTACAAAAAGGCATAATGTAATTGTTACAAAAGTGAAGTTAGTGAAGTGAAGCTATTGAAAAATATAAACAAACTTGAAAACGGAAGGAAGGGGAGGAAGCGGGTGTGTACACACTAAATTAATATCAATAAAAATGGAAAAATAATGCGAAAAATCAAGAAACAATAATAATTTTATAGATTTACAAATTAATAAAAAATGTGAAAAACGAATATTATCTTGTCTTGCAAAACTGAGCTTTATTGTACCTACTTGCTAAACATTGCAGAACAAGTTAAGTAGTAGGAAATTTAACTTGAAAAACAAAAAGATAAGATAACAGCAAATATAACTTCAAAACCTAAACTTTCTGAATTTTGTAAAGAGGTTTAAGAAAAACTTGCAATGTCGAATTGTGTAATATTGATAATATTCGTTAAATAACGACACAAAATATTGAAACAAGAATTAATTTGTGTGAAAGGTAATACAATGACCAGTGCTCTATTAATATACATTACAAAATAATATCATAGACAAAACCATAAGATTTATTCTGTGTGTACATTAAAAAAATGTTATGTGAGTGGTAGTATGAATTTAGGGTATGCGGATGACGCAGTTTTGTTTGTAGAAGAGAAAGATAACCTGCGGCAGCTATTAACACATGTTTTTAGGACGCAGTTAAAAAACAGAGAAATACAACGTAAATTTGAAAAACAAATAAGAGAAAAAAGGGTCGTTTAAAAATAGCAAAGTTTATCACATTAACCGAATGGACTACACGCACATCGCTGAAATCGTTCGGGGAAAATCTCTCATAGGTTGCAAAAAGGTTTCTCTATCCGCACGAATATAGAGGGATAACTTGAAATCACCAGAGGATGGATGCGTCTAGACAAAAAACAACTGTAGAAAATAGCAATTTTATAAAAAGCAAATATATTCCAAGAGAAACAGTAAATAGTAGATACAAAACCTTCAGATTCACCTGTGTGATTACTAATATTGAACTGTTCTTAAACTTAAAGAATTATTATATCAGGAATCAAAAATATTATTGTGTCCTAATTGGAACATCTGCAATTTGATCTACAAATGCGTAATGTTTAATGTTAATGGTCAATCATTTAGTGCATTTCCACCAAGAATAATAACCAGAGCATGCTAGCAGACAGACAGTGTAATATTGCATCTGCCGATTATAAAGCCGAAAGGTTGGCCCAAGAAAAATAGTATTTTCTTTTCTGCCACTATCTCTTGCCGATCAACCCAAAAAAACAGAAAGCAACATCTATCACTAATTATGATCACGGTCACCATGAAACTTCAACATTACTTATTGTAATGTATTAATTAGAGGCTGTAGAATAAACTGCAGAATTTCTTGCGGTTCAAATAAGGAAAGACTGAAATATTTTTGAATAGGCGCGCTGGCCTATTCAAAAAGATTTGTGGAAGACTATGTGATGAAGTGCAATCAATGTAATTGTGCAGCAATCGTCTTCAAATCATATACAATTTGTCCAATTTATAATTAGTTCTGTTGAAGTATTGAGAGCAGTTTTTACAGTCGAAATTTGTGCCCCTAATATTATGGTTTGTTTTTAAATGGCTTTTTTCAACCCTTTAACATCAAATAGTCAAAGTAACTTTGGTAATGTTTTAGTCGCGTTCTTTTAACTGCATAGTTATACATTTTACCAATCAACAATTTCATTTTTCAAATTAGTTGGTTAATTCTTTACTTTGATCACTCGAGCAGTCTGCATTTTTTTATATCAAAATAGTAGTTACTTTTTCGAGTTTTTTGGATTTCAGAATTGTCCATGTGGCAGGAATCCAACCTACCCAAAACAGTTTTTTCTTTGAGAAATTTTTTTGTATTTAAACTAAATTTGACTTGAGATTGATATAAACTTCTAGATGAATACAGAGTTCAAAAATGTGTGCATGTGTGCATGTGTGCTGGCATTTCGGTAAAACGTTATTATTAGTCAAATAATGTTGATATATACCCTCTCCAATGTGGGCATAAAGCTTTTAGCCAAATGACAATTTTGCAACACCACCCAAGTGCCATTCTTCACACCCTCATCGATCAACTTTACGGCAATCGGTCCTTGTCCTTGTCCCAAAGATAGAGCGAATAATCTCGCGGCACCAAAGCCTTGATCATCTGCAAACTTGAGCAAGACGGCTGTCGGATCCGCACCGGGAGTCAGCACAAAAATGAGCGGAATGCAGCAATGCGAATCAGCAAATGATGATGTTAAATCGAATGGAGGTGGCTCAACAAATTGCTTTCCCAAGTGTTCTGTTTATAGAAAAAATCACTAGAGAGATTAATTTTTAAGTACCTTATAACATGATAACCTGTAACAAAATCTTGAACCGCTGGCACTATTTTATCAAATCTTATACATCGGAGAACAAGCAGTTTCTGCAAAGAGGATAGCTTTTCGTTCCAAGGAGATGGCAAGGGCAATTTTTGAGGTTCGCCCGAATCAAATATAATTTTCCATTCAGCTGAATGTTTGGCAAAGTGATTGATGATTCCCCTAAAACAGCATTACATTTATCGCTTTTTTGAGTTTTTGTTCATAACACGACGTTTTATCTGAAGAGGGTATTATCGACTGAAAACGAAGTAAACAGGTAAACATCTATCAACAGTCTTCAAGTTATATTTTCTGATCAAATTTTGCTAATTGGTCATGTGCATGTTTACTCAAAGTTTTTATCTTCATCAATTAAATTATTTATACGATTTTCCACAAATTTGCTAAATTCGCTTACTTGAAATTTGGTAAATCGTTAAGGCGACAGAGTTCATCCCAAGATTTTGTAACCAACCAGTCTGAAGGATTCACATTGGGATTATCCAGACCCACGCCTCCAGTCAGGAGAAACATCCACTCGGCTAAGTCGATTTGGTTGAGATTTTTCATCAAATTTATCGTCAGCAGTAAGGAGAACAACAACTTGTCTTTTTCAAATAAGCTGCGACATATGTTCACATACAAATGATAAGTAAAAACCTGAAACAGAATAAGTATTGAGAAGCAGCAGCTCTATTAAAGAACTAAAACTTTTAGTAGTTTTAACATGACCTGTTTACATTTGAAAAGGTTTTGCCGGATATGATGCCAATCAAGAACATAAAATAACGTGTGCTTCCGATTGGAAAACGTTGGAAGTTTTACCATTTGTTCTTAACTTAGTAGACTAAATCTTTTTCAAAACTATACTTAATGACCTAAACAGCGGACATTTGATAGAAATGTTGTTTGTCATCAAGTTATTCGTTTCGGAATTATCTGTGTGATGAATCTTCCCCCTTTTTTAGTTTAACAGAAGCAAAGAAGTAACAAAGGAAACAAAACTAGTTAACAAATGAAGAATCAGTGGTTAAACAATTTCAAACCCGAGATTACAGTAATGAACTAAGTAGGTGTTAGCTCCGACCTTAGAAAAACTATTCTTCAAGTCTTGTTATGGGAGTTTTTAATTAATGAAGGCAAAAATACCCGTTTTGCTTATACAAATATTGGCTATTATGTATTTTCCTTGCCATATTGTTAAAATTAAATTTTCCGCTTTGGTTACTCGTTGATCATGAAAGCGTAAATTAATCGATACACTTCATCGTTCTTTCTTCAAAAAGCTTTTCGTATGTATAAATACTTTGTAAGCTTTTATAAAATTAAACTACGATTAACTGGATACGTAACATAAAATTATTTACAAATAAACGTATTACCTTTTTCAAGTCATTTAGCCTCATTGTTACATCTTCAACTTTATCCGTATTATCTATGGTGCCCTTGAATAAATTTACGAACCAAACTAAAGAATATTGATACATTGGATCAATGTTGGCCAAATCTGCTATAGTGAAGAACAGAATTGCCGAATGTACAGCTATTGGAGTATACTCCAGGCGAGCCTGAAAAATACTCGTATTCTTTAATATTAGCCAATGTTTAAAATTACTGCATCAAGCTGACCTTATCTATTTGTTTTTCGGTAACTTCAGCGATTGCTTGCTTTGCAGCTATTTCATTTGATAGCTGTTTGGATGAGCTTAGAATAGTAACGGCTGTTTCGTCTTCCAAAATATTTCCTTGCGACGTACTTAAAACTTCCAGGATTTTATCTTCGATTTCTTTCAGCGATCTGAAAATGAACACACTCTCGAAACTCACAGAAGATTTTATAAGAGTTTTCATACGTTTATTGATATAGCTATTCTTTTCTAATAATTGTCTAACCAGAAATTCGTAGGAGTTTTTGATGTTTAATTGAGAAATACATTGTAGGAAATGGAAGAATTTTTAAATTATTTAACTCATATAATAAAATAACCCAACTTGAAAATTGCAAGTGAAGTTGACTCGATCCTTTTTTTGCGTGCGTTTTTGGAAAACAAATACAAATATGAGAAAACCTTTTCGGAAGCAGGATTCTTGCAAAAATTTAAAAAAATTGGGCTTTGGCAAACAGAGCTGCATGCCTTACGTAAGCTCATTGGCCTAACTGGGATGTATTTTCTTAAACATTGTTAGAGAACAATCGCTTCGTGAAGAAACATATTTTTATTATTTAAAAGGTACAAACAAATTTGGCTTTGCTAAAGTGAACAGCAACAAATTGTAGAATAAGAATAAAAAATTTGCCATATAAAATTTTATATTATTTGGTAATAAAATAACGCAATAACAAAATATAATTCACTTTGTAGTTTCAAAGCATCTCAGTTGAATTCTAAAAATTACAAAGTAGAACCTCAAATACTAAAAATGCTAAAATATAAAAGAATAAATAAAATTCTATATTTTAGACAAAATAACGACTCTCAAAGATTGTACGGAAAATAAACTCAGCTCAGGCAGACTAAATATTTTTAGCTATAAGTTTATAGCCACTTATAAATCGGGAAAAAAAATCACACTAAAGCACATACCTCTTATTTTCTGCGCCTTGAATGATCAGAGCATTTTTCTCTGCTTCCAAATCAGGTCTTTCTTTGGCCACCACTATACCCAAAAGTTGATCTTCAAGACCCGCACTAGTTATTACAAAGTTTACTAATGTAACCTTCACAGCCACTTCTGGCAAGTAATGTGGATTTCGTAGTTTAGTTGTTACATACAGCCTAAGAAAATAGTATTTTTTTTACTATTTAATTATACAAATGAACAATCAAAAGAAAAGTTTACTAAAATATGACCTGAGCCATATTTGAAATTTGAAGCAGAAATAATAATAATTGCTTAATTTTTTTATGCACATTTTTTAAAAGCTATTTAATAGCTATTTATTTTAATAGCTATTATAGAAATTTGAAGCAGAAATAATAATAATTGCTTAATTTTTTTATGCAAATTTTTTAATAGCTAGTAGAAAAAAATTATTTAAATATACTGAATGAATCTTAGATATATAGAAAACTATATTAGATTAATCGAGAAATTAATATTGAAAACTGAAATAAACAATTATGCCTCGAAAACTTACTTAAAATCTGGGCTATATTCAACCACAGAATCACCCAACTTAAGACAAAGTGCACCACCTTGCTTAAATGTTTGCTGGGACAGAACCGGTTCTAAAATTGGATCTAATTCTTGCCCAACGTTTTCCAGGAGAACCTATGAAGTTGAACTCCTTCCAATTAAGAGAATTGTGAAAATTTGCAGTACACTTACCGGTTGGCCAAACTGAATAGCATTTTCCAAAATTCTAACATAATCAGGCTGATTCAATCGAATAATAGCTAAATTATTCAATCGCTCCATATTTTTAATCCACTTATTGGCTTGTCCTTGAGGATCGATCATCAAAGCATATCTTCTAGCATTACTAGAGGACAAAATCAACATATTTAAAATATGAAAAGAAATAACAAAAACAAACAAAACTTACGAAATGATAATTCCATTTTCTACGCTGAAATTATCTGTGGGTAATCCGAAAATATTCCATTGTCGAATCACGACAGGCTCTCCCAGAATGGCAGCCAACTGGAAATCTCGCGTAGTTACAATTCCATACCCAATTAATTCGGTAACCCAGTCTTCAATTTGTTTCTGCCTGAATTGCATAGTGAAAGCTCCCAAATAAGCTACTATGCCCGCAGACACCAATATGTCCCCTAGAAACCAAACCAAATTTTCGAGTAAAATGATAAAAAATCAACTTCTGATATATTTGCACTTTTCACCTAGGTGTTCCAAGTGGTTTGGAAAACATTTCTAGTCACTTACCAACTAGCATATTATACCGTTCTCCCAGCTCTTTTGCTGTTGCCTTCCAACGATCTTTTTCACCACCCAGGCCGCCAATCAGGTCTTCTGCTCGTTGCAATTTTAACTGGCAAAGATTAACTTCATCCGTCAGTTTTCTGAACTTCTTAGACTCGTCAGCCAATCTCTCTTCTAGTTTGGCAACCTAATAGGTAAAATTTATTTCGCCAATCATAACACATCTCTATAATAATTTGCCTTGAAATGTCAACTATAATATCAGATCATCTAGTATTTTGCTCTGATGTTCATGCCTGCACCATTTGCTCTATTGCCTTTTTGCCTCAATGCAAAGCACTTTAATTTCATGAAGAGTAATGGGAATTGACTTGACTGAGAAAGAATCGCTACACGCAAAAACCTTAATAACTTACGAACTCTTGACAAAATTGTAATGAAACAGAAAGCGTTTTAAAGGTGCTTTTATTACGAGTAATTAAAATAATTAAGCTGAAGTCATTTGTTTTGACGGAAATGTTAGATTTTTCTGAAATMTTTTCCATCATGGACTTTATGGTAGCTTTATTAATTTTTCTGGCTGCAGAATTTCACTTTATTTTCAATTCTGGTAGGGTTTTATTTTCTTTTTTCGCTTCTTTCAAAGCTCTTTTTACCAAGGCCTAATATTGCTCGATAMCAAAACGACTTTATTCATTTGGCACCATTCTACTGTTTCATGATTGGCAACAATCTTTTTTGGAGACTTCTATCTTACGTAAATCTCGGTGTTTATCGTTCYATTYGTGACAAAAGATTTKCTGCGCGCCCCACAGCTTYACAAGGCTTGCCACATGAGAAACTTCGTGGRAAACTTTGACTTTTYCTTTGTCCTGAACTCTTCATTTACACCTCCGCGGTCACGTYCTGCGTAAMATTTTTGACCCGSAAGCTRGGAGAAGTTACAAARAACRWATGTTTTGTCATYCATCAGRCAGCAATWTYTCTTTTTGGAATAATTMTTTTTTGCTTCCRGRTTCTWAYTKKCATTTCTGTCTGGTKTCGTCTGAACTTTATAAGWCTTGAAGTCMATCTTGGTTTTGATTCGAGGTACGGTGCTCTCACGGCAACCTACTTTATTGCCCATTTTCCCATTGGGACATCTCGACATCTTTCTWCACTGTTTGTGRGCGTGTAAATCCACTTTTCYTACCCGAACGCMCTTTTYKRTYAAACTTTAAGGTTTGCTTGAACAGACTAATAACRTTTGATRCGGTCRTTCTRTGAACGTTTACCTCTTGCAATTTTYCGWTGGATCCACWATGRATTTTCATGAAAATTTCGAWTATTTCAATTATTATTAAATCGCGCACTTCTAATKCAGATGTCATWTCTCTAYTAAAACATATATAYAGTTCGATGTTTAATATGCCAAAATCGTTTAGAGGTTCTATGGAAGAGCWTGRAATTTTRAGTTTTTGATTTTGTTGAGAGAGAACGGTTTTTGAGTGTAGCGATTTTTTCTGACTTAAGGTAGGTAACTCAAAGGCAAATTTATATTTCGAAACAGCTCGCAATAAAAGTTTGTTTGCCACCAATTATACAGTTGAAATATTGCCTGTATGTTTTCATATGTTCTTCTAAACGATTTGCTACTAAATGGAGCATCAAAAAGTATCCGCTCTATTGATTTTCACGTGAAAATCATATGAATGATTTATAATTTATTACCTTTTCTCTGGCTTCTCTTAATTGTGCCCTTTTGATTTCTAAAGAAGCCATTGCCGTATTGAATTGTTCTTCTGCAATAGCAAGAGCAGCTTTCTTGGGTGCGACTACTTTCGCTACTTTATCGTACTTCGAAATGGCGATTACCCATTTGCAAATGCCTAAAATAAGGTGCATTGGTTGCAAACATACATTTTTATTTAAAATGTTAATTTCTTAAAGCATACATTAAGCATATTTACAAGGTCGTTAAGTACAGTAATTTAACAACATACGAAGCGGATAATTGATGCAAAAAACCTCTGAGAAAGTATATTTTAGCGTCATTTCTGTATGCCACACAGCGTTGCATTTAAAAACAATGTGTACAATTTATTACACTAGGCTGATTTTTATTATTTGAGTATATATAACACTACGATGTCTGCAGAACTGAAAGGAAAGGAAAATTGACTGAAAGTCTAATTTTAGAAAAGATTGGATATTTAAGAAAAAAAAATACTGAAAAAAGCATTTAAAACATAAATTCTAGAGTGAAAGTTGGAGTTAGTGGAAAGTTTATCTCTTAAAATCCGACGGGTATTATATCAATATATTTTTTGATTTCATCTATTATATATTTTAATCGTATATTCAAATAAAGTAAAGCGAAAAAGACGGGTATTGCTGAACAAGTGACCAACATCTCTGGCCGGGACTTTTCAAATTAACCGCGAAAATTCGATATGGCTGAAAATAATGCGTTCTGCTCTTTAGTTGTTCTAATTTACGGTTTAATATGGATATGATGATTTGTGGAGAAAGGTTAAGGCTTAATTTTTATTAAATTGATTGCACGAAAATACCTTGCCTTTCTATCACATGGATTGAATGTATCCAATTGCAGTTATGGATATTATCTGCTAAACGATTTACGGATTTACACTCTCAAAAAAGCGGCCAATAGTACATCTTTCAATTACAAAATTTCAAATCTCCAAAACTATGGGATTTAATCCCAACAGACTCTCATTGGAAATTTTTTTGCTTATATTTCTCTGTTTTATGCGCTCAGAAGGACGATATCAAGCGGCTGTTTCCCACTGTTTGTATCAAAATGTCTTCTTTTCGAATTATACTATCCGTTCAAATTGCGGAGAACATTGTTTTAGTTAAGCGGTTACCGAAAAAGGTCAATCAAAAATGTTTTGACGGCATTCAACTTTGCTTATCTACTTCAGTTGCCACATAACCATAAGCCTACATAAAACATAAAAAAGTGTCTCTATGAGAATCCCTTTAAAGTGCAAAACAACAGATAAGCAAGCTTTTTAATTTCATTGCTAATAATATCTATATCCCACCTGTTAAAACAATTATATTTTAATATTTCAAAAAGCCGTTTACCTTCAGCTGCTGAAGAAGCCGTTTTCACCTTATCCGGATCAAAACTTTCATCGTTCAAAATCTGATCTTTAAGTTTGGCCATGATCCGGGGCTGAATATTGTCTTTGTCGAAATTAATTAGACCCTCTAGAAATTTCATATCGCCTAAAACCTTTTTTGACGGACCCCAATAATCGTCAATCGTCCCTATTCCACTCGGAGCCGGTACTTTATCAGGTTTTATGTCCTGAAATAATTGTATTGTACTTTGAATTTTAATTGAACTTTTTAATTAAATAGCGGGGTAAATAAATGGTGTCAAGAACTAAAATTGCAGTTTGCCTTCAAGTTAATTTCACGAAAATGAGCCAGACCGGACGATATTGAGTTAATTATTTGAACACAATACAAAGAAAATTGAATTTTAAAACATTACCATAATATTTTCCAAGCATATTTGAATCAACTACAATCAGATAATACCTTTAGAATGCATACTGCCTCCATAACAACTTTGACGCCTTTCGGTGGGTTTTTCATCGTTTTAACTATAGTTATATCAGCTGGAGTCAATGTATTCAAAGCGGCTAAAGCTGCATTCAATATTGGCATAGCTACTGCCATATTCGCTTCACATTCATCCTTTATAGCTTGTGCGGCTTTTGCTTGTTCATTTGCAGCCTAATTTTGGGGAATTAAATCATTTAAAATTAATAGGATGTTAAAATTGATCAACATATACCTCTTCATCAATCATAACGGTTTTCTCCACTTCAGCAGCTTCAGCAGATTCAGCTTCAACAATTTTCATTGTTTCCTCAACTTTGGCTTGCGCAACAACCAGCTGAGGTTGCAAAGCTTCTAAAGCCAATTGCATCACGGCAACCTCAGAACCAGCAGATTGTAGTTTTTCCAATCCCACTTCATATCTTTTTTGGCCCAGTAGCAGTTCTCTATTATAACGACAATCAAATTGTTAGAACTTACAGAAATATTAATTTGCCTTAGTCCGATTGCACTGGAAAAATGACTTGCCTGCGCTTCTTGGTCAAGAAGGTTTTGAAGGTATTGATCATTTCCAAATAAGAAGTAGGTGTAACATAATTATGACGATTCAGCCTGAGAAAGTATTCGTCTGATAATTTCTGCGTTGAAACGTGGAAGGTTTGGCACATATCAATGCACACGTCTCGTTCCTGGTCAGTTAATTCAATTTCGCCTAGGAATTTTTTGGCTACTGCCAATAAGGCATCTTCTGGCCAACTCTGAAATTTACTTAGATAATTATTATTTTCTATAACAGCAGGGAGTATTTAGGGAGTCCGAAGATAATGGGTACTTCCAGTGACTTCTAAAGGACCTATCTAGATTTTTTAAATTTGCCTCAAGACCAACTTTCATCTATCGCTGCGTGTTATGCAAAATGATCAGATATAAAACCGTGAACGCTCAAAATAGAAAGTGTGAAAATCGTCTTTGTTACAGTTTGAAATATGTTTTCTTTTTACCTAATACAGCTAACAAGATAGTTGCATATAAATTTAAACACCCTCTTTAATAGATGGGTTACCTGAAACCAGTCGATAGTACAGCAATTAACCAAAGCGGGAAACTTCCTAATCCTGGTTCTGAAACTTTCGCCAATCGGGCTCATAGCCAGCACAACATGGAGCTGTTCTTTTACAATCTGGACAAAGAAGTTAAATAGTGCCGCTGGGCTACCATCTGTCTGCATGGATTTATCCCTTTGTCTGTCCAGTTGGCGCATTTTCTCGCAAATTTCCATTTTCTCTTCAGTGGTAAATAAATTAGGGACCTACAAATGTCACGGTTTGCATATTCGGGCACAGCATTTAAAGGGAATGAAAATATTTCCATTATTTCGCTATAGGCAGAATTCTGTGAATTAACAACAAAACGGAGAAGATATCAAGAATACTAAAAAGTGAATAAGGAAAATTTGAATGCATTTATTCCAAATTATTGATAAAAAAAAACAAACTGGCTGAACAATTAACAGCATGGTTTTAGTTGTTAACTAAAATATTTAAACCTCCATTAATTTGAGAGTTTATTTCTTTCTGTCGGGCGCAAGTTTTGCGAGGTCGATACAAATTTTACTGATAGAAAAACCTAGCAAAACAATAATTAAGTAACAAAAACAAGGCATTTCCGTGCTATATTTGAAAAAAAACTGAGTGTTCCCGATGTTAAAAGTATCGAAACCCAGTAAAATTTTGCTCAATCATCTGTTATGATACACTTGCTATTGACATCGTAAATAAGTTGCGACTTATAGACACAATAAAAACAGTACTTTAATAACAATTACTAATTTCCATAGGCCACTTGAAGGGTAAAGCGCTTCGTTTGGATCTTTTCGTGTTGATTTCTTCGCGCATTTTTTTTTTCATTTGATTTCTTCGGAAGCTTTTACAAACACATCTTCCATACGTATTTAAAGATGTGCAGATATCGTATTCTAGTATTTGCTTTGAACACTCTAATTTCTATATTTTAATCATGAATCGTTTTTGAAAAGTGCACTTTATTTTATACAAATTTTTTTTAAATTTCATGGCTTATCGACTATAGTGTCAGATTATTATAAGTTTTTAAAAGCTTATTTCAGTTCGCAAATTTCTACACCGCGATTAGAACAGGATTACCTCAAATGAAGCTCAAATTAACCTCATTCGAATTATTGCGTTGTCCTTTAAAACGGGCGAGAAAGATTTTTGTCTGATGATATTAAGTTAAATGATTTGTGTTCGGTATAATTGTATCTATTATAAAATTGATAGATATTTATTGTCCTTTTTTACTTTTGTCTTGTGACGTCCGATTATGCGCACTTTTGCCAGCAATTATATTAAATATTAATTTGTCATAAAGTTTCCATGTGTATTTGGCCTTCCTTTTCACATTCGACACTTCACTTTACCTAAAGAGTGTTTTCTTCGAGGTATAGATTTTTAAATTGAAAGAAAACTCATAAAATTCATGTTACGGTCATGGTATAATGGCTTTATTGAAAGGACCATTGTATGTTTAAATAGGATTTGGAGCATATGGGCGCGGCGGCTGGCTCCAATGAAGAGCAATCCGTGAAGAAGTCGGGTTTCATCCATCGTTCGACCAATTTGATTCCACTAGACCATTAAAAAATCACATGAAACAGTGAGTTTTTCTGGATATACCGGTATCTCAATAATGGCTTTCCGATTTATTATATTCGTCGCTCCAAATTCAGCAATTCATTTCGAAAATCGCTGTTCAGTTCGCCAAACTCACCGTGCGCTAGGTTCATTTTACGGTAGAGATAATCGTTTTTGGCTCAACGGTTGTGTAAATAAACAAAATTTCGTAATTTGGAGCGACAAAAATCCAGAAGCCATTATTGACACGCCGTTGTATCCAGAAAAACTCACTGTTTTTTGTGCTTTATGGCCTGGAAGGAGTTTGGAAGTGGTCGAAAATTGGACTTTCACATTGTTCTTCATTCGAGCCAGCTACGGATCATTAGATCCCTAATTACAGTTAAGCTATACAATTGCTTTCTCAATTAAGCCAGTTCGATGATATTAACATGGTTTTTATGAATTTTACTTCAGTTTCAGTTCAAAGTTCTATCTCTAAAAAACACGCTTTATATACTTTTCGATTTGCTATCTTTAAAAAATATGTTCATTATTTGATTTAAAATTAAAATTCTCCATTTGATCATTACGGTTATTAGACTTCAACTCTTCTTTACACTATGTATTGTCGGGAATTTAGTTGTATTAATTAATTGTAATTGTAAACATTCATTGTTAGTACTAAGTAGGTATCACTTTTACCTACGTAAATTTACCTTATTAGCTATGTACTAAAAATTATCATTCTATATTCCTTTTAAATTTTTTATAGTTTGTATTTATAGTTGTATATTAGTTGATGCTATAGCAAATATTGAGCTAATAATTGTTTGCTTACCGCTCTTGAGGTTCGCTTAATCGCTATATTTCCGTTCCTGCTTTAAATATTCTTGGTACTTGCCATAGCTAGACCATATTGACAAAATTATTTTATTGCAATTTATCTGCTGTTGCTTCAATATTTTAAAATTGAATGGAGAATGAAGAATGTGATAACTGAGAGTAAAAAATAACTCTGTAATTTCTAAGAATATCTCACCTTTTTAAGGAATGGAGTGACGAATTATACTTATTAGCACACCAAGGTACTAAGAAATAAAAAAATCGTGTTTATTCCCAACTATTTCGATTAGCTCGATAGTCAAAATATTTTCCAATTGTGTTTCGTGCAACAAACTACTGTTTCTAGGAACCTTAATGCATTCTGACCTTTACTATTTGCATGGCAAAGTTCAGCTCAGTTTTGTTATTGACCACGTCAATAAATTTCTTGACCTGGTCATTAGCAAATCACAAAGATAAATGCTCGTTTTGAAATTTGTTCTGTGAACTGTATTAACGCCAGCATATTAGTTTCTAACGAAGGGCACAAAGTAGGCCTAGGTAACTCAGTGAATTTTTTGAAGTTGGCGCAGTGTGCAACTGGCTTTGTGCGCCAACCCAACGCACCGGCGCAGTAACTCAGTTCCGTTGCTGGCGAAAAAATGACTTAAGTTGTTCTTCGATTTATTTTAGGGGCCACTTATTAAAAATATTTTCACTTTTTACGAAATTTCAGAATTTTTCAGTTTTAGCAAAGTTACTGTTTCTTCTAATCGCTCATTTTTCTAATGTTTTAAGTAAAAATACTGACAATCTAAGGATATTTGCCGCGAAAAATTGTAAAATAAATTTTCGTGAAAACACTCGCCTCCTTCGTCGTTTCGTAAAAAGTATTGAAATCCTTTTCCAGCTTCAAATTTAGGACAAAATCAACTAATTTTTTATTAAAAAGCAAACAGGATATAACAGAAAGTTTATAAAAACTCACCACCCCCCATCCCTCTGAAGACCGTAGAGTGAGTTTAAAAGCTGTGGATTTTTGGTTTTGATTGAGTTTTTGCTTTACTTTATACTCAAAAACGCTCTATTTTATAGAGTTTCACTTAAAAAAAACTAACAATCTGGAGGTATTTTACGCGAAAAATTACAAGATAAATTTATAGGTGAAGGAGTTTGACAAAAACCTTTTTCAGCGTCGAATTCGGGGCAAAAACGAAAATAAGTCTTTCCATTTTTTCCGGAAAATTATTAAGGTTTTCTGAAAAACCGATCGCAAAACTAAAAATTTTAAATCGAAACCTTAAAAAATCCATTATTTTCCGATTCTTTTCCGACAACCAAGGAGTCTTTTCAGCCAAACACGACACAATTAATTTTGTTAGAAAATTGGCCTTATGCATCGCTTTGCAGGATATTTTAGAAGGTCTTTCTTAGCTTCGAATTTGGCACAAAAAACAAATAATTTTATTTCCTTTGTTCCCAAAGTAATTAAGATTATCTTGAAAAAACCACCCGAGAGCAAAAGTTTACAAAAAATMATTTGGAAAACTCGCTACTCTCATCGCTCTGAAGAARTKTAAAGTTTCTCAACACTCAAACACTGACAATATTTAGATATTTYMGGTSWAAAATTMTSAAMTWCATTCTATTGGAACACTCCCCTCCCTAACGTCTTTTTGAAGATTTTTGTAAAAACTTTTGTAGCTTCGAATTTTGGACAATCCTCYAATCATTTTTCTGGGTTTTTTGCCAAAAATATTTTTTCCGAACAGAACAAGCGAAACTTAATAATCAATTATTTGGAAAATTCGSCAACTTTGTCGCTGTTCATAATTTAGTTATTTTTAATTCCGGTTTCTTCACTTTTAGGTCAATATTTCTAARCAAAACTATTTCCAAACTGTGGCAAACKGAGRGTCTTTGAATCMAAAACAGCATATTTATAGTTTGGTCTTCTTTTCCTTTATTTGGTGTCYTTTGAATACCCGATTTACCWTTGAATTTGGGACAAAATCAAAGTTTTCTTGTTTTTTTTTTCTCGAAAAAATTACTTTTCCAAAAAACGATCAGAGAAARCAAAGGCATATRATCAACTATTTGRAAAACTCATTAAAAACCTCAGCGCTCTGATGAATTTTAAAGTTTCTTCAAAATTTCCGGCTTTTCTCGTTTTAGACCAAAAACCGGAAAAACCGCAATTTTAAGCAATCGTTTCTACAGAAACGGTAACTCAGTGTATAATTCAGGTGTTCGAGCAGTGCTACTCAAATGGCTTGGTACTCAGTAACTCAGTTCCGTTGCTGGAGAAATGATACTCCGAATGTTAAAATTCCAGTCTAGGGTTTCGTACAGCTTTAATCCGCTTTAATAAATGAGTTATGACTCATTCACCGATGAGTTATAACTCATTAACTCAGAGAGCGGAACAACTGAAAAGCGCAACTCAACACAGTTTTACCCAGGCCTAACACAAAGTACATAATTTGGGCTAAAAGACGATTGGCTTTAAAAAGCAACCAATTTTGGATTTGCAGTTCTCATTTTTAGAGAATCTTTAGCGCAAAGTATCTATGAATAAACAACTTAAAATCACATTAAATTAAACAGTAAAATAATTGATTTGAAAATCACATTAAATAGAGTTTTGCATGGAACAGAATGCATGTACTTGCCTCGCCCGAATTCATTAAATTGCTAACATCTTCCAAGAAGGCTTCTTCTTTGATTTGCGTGTCCGTAAACAAGAACACGCCGTGTTGGTCAGTGGCACTCGCTTTTTTCAAAATCACTTTAACATCTTCCCTCCATTCATTTACTCCGTATAGTCTTGTAATTTCGACTTGGAATAACTCATACTCGGAAATATGTGCCGCCAATCTAGTCAGAGATTGACGTCCAGATCCACCAACACCCACACATAGACCATGACTGCGTGGTTGTTTTAGAATTCGACATAGTTTGGATAAATGTTCAATTGCAAATCTGAAAGGGCATGAGAARATTTTAATTACAAGCTGAATTTAATCCAGCKASTTGCGAAGTAATTAATCAATTTCCAAGCTGTGAAACTAGAWAAATATGGTATATGSGTAATATGGAGATAACTTTGCTACATTTTTKCCAATCATGAATTCATTTATAGTACTTAAGTGAACTAAGATGCTCTTTCTAAGAAAATATGCATGGGAATTGTTTACACATTAGTAAAGATTCATGAAATTGTTGCTAATTATTTTCTCGCAAACACGAGAATACAGATAAATTTACGGAAAATCCATAAATCAAACAAAAATTGACGGTTCACATTGAGCCGTTTCTAAATTTCTCGTTTCTTCGTTCCTAAAAAAGCGCACTGAAAATCTATAAAATACCTGTTGAATCTATCTTATTAACGTATTTGTGTAGAATCATTTCACACTGCGTTTAATATCCGTGACGAGTGGACTTACCTAAACAGCACCAGATTCATCGGTTTCTTGGACATATTATTGAATTCATTCAAATATCCTTCTGTAATCGTTTTAAGTTGCTCCAAATCTTGCACTTCAATGTAATGTCTGTGATCAGCTTTCGGATTGGCAAAGTCACAGTAAATTAGCTTTCTGAGCTCAGTTTCCCCAATCTGAAATGAAACGTTATCAAACTATATACGGTCTTAACAATATTTCAGCAGTTTACAAGTGGAACTAAAACTTGACTGCAACTTACCTCCGGGCCTTCCGGCGACGCCAGGCGTTGGAACATCGTATTCATGTCCTCTTCTAACTTATCTTTACACACCTCTCTTAATGCTTCCACTATCCAAGTGCGGTCACTATCGTCCACCAACCGATCGTAGTATACTCGAAGAACTTCGTGAACCCACAAACGTTTCATTGCCACCAAATCCTCCATTGCTTCAGGCACTGACAACAACACCCCCTAGCATTGCATTAATTGGTTTTATGAATTTTTCAGACATTAAGACATCATCTTAACGTTACCTGAATTACGCGTGAAAAATCTCTTAAATTAAACAGATAATGCGACTTGGCTGGAGTCGGCAACAAATTAGCTCGTGCCATTTTATAGATGTCCAATGTTGCTAGAACAATTTCTTCAATGCACGGGTCAAAATCCTTAGAAAATCCTCTGAAAGTTTTCAATAAATTCCGCATTAGTAAGGATGATCGTGGTTAATTAACTTAAATTGATTTAATGATACTTAAAAGTTTTATTTCATTAATGAAGAATTCACCTGAACTTGAAACTGATGAAACATTAATAAATACAACATAAATTGCGAAATATTGTTCACACAATGGAGAGGACACCTTTCCAATTTTTTATGAGATGTTCACGTTCGACCGACGCGAATGCCTGAGATAGATAGATAGATAGATAGATAAAAATTAATTAAACGTTCACGTTGGTATGGCACAAACAAATTAACAACATATTGACAGATGTTCTGCCAGTTGCTTCCTTTGTCCATGATCTAAATAGACGCGCTGAGTCGTCCATTACCTGTGCAGTACCCTAACATGGACATTCCCGAGCTACTATACGCACGACAACGTCAGGAGATAAATCATAATAATGGAGATCTTGAAGTGGCGGCTTTGGTTTTATTTGAGGGACGTTAACTTAGGAAAAAAGGTCTTCCTGAAGGAAATTCAACAACCTCTTTTGCTTCGACTTTAATCTTGATAATGTCAGTGGTGACGTAAACCGCTGGCAGTCTTAATCAGTAAATGGCCTAGGCCACGCCCCCTTCTCTCGTTGGTGCAAAGACTAGCCAGCACCGGCCAGAGCAAGGGACCACCAACCTGACCAGTCCACGTAGTGTTGGATTTTTACGTTTCCAGCCTGCTAGAAACGCAGTCCTGCATTTGCAGAAAGTGTGAGTTTGTCGTCACGTTTTGTTAGGGGACAAAATTCTCATGTAGGAATGTATCTTATCTCATCCGCGGTATGTCTTACGATTTTGTCATCCTGAAGGTCTGGTTGCACTACTTCTGCCAAAAAGTCGACGAGCAGCTCGCACTTCTTGTTCAAGAGCGGAAACTTGCTCGTAGCCTTTTCGGAGGCTTCTCGACAGTTTCCACAACGAGTTGTCACGGGGAATTATATTGCGTAGCTTTTCCGCCCAGGTAAAATTCGTGTTTGTAAGTCATTATTTTAGCAGTGTCTTTAAGACGCCTTGGAGGATCTGCCGACTTTTTTGCCTACTGCTTTTTGTGTAACTAGCAATTTTATTTTCACCTCTGTGTTCCACAATATTTGGCTATTATCTTTCGTCACTTGCATTCGATTTTTGCTTTCTTATCTGCTTTGCAGTCTCCCCTAAATTGGAAACATTGACGTGATGTGTTGGTTTAATCTTCTTGGGAAGTTCTAGCGGGAGTACGTTAGTTCTTATCAGTTAATTCCTTTAAGTATTTTAAGACTTAAGACTTTTAAGTATTTTTTTTGGCTTTTATCAGGGCTTTTACTTTGTCAGTATTATTTATCAAATAACATTTTTGAGGTTGATTTTTAATTTTTTAATTAACGTTCGATTTTTATGTGCTTCAAGCCAGATTTATTTGCCGGTATCTTTCAATTTTGCTTCTAAGTTAAACAATTTCCACTGAGCGTTAATAATATAGTTGATGATTCTTATAATGCTTTTATGCAGTGTTTCTTGGATATGTCTCTCTCATTATTCTATCATGAATTCTTAGAACAGAAAATCCAAGATATCACGAATGTTGTTTAGTGTCATTTGGTAGCTGTTTCAGTTATAGTTTGTTCCATTTATTTGTATATTCTTAATCGGTAATTAAACCAAACACAGTTTCTGATAGCTGAGTAAAATTCTACGTAAAACAACTTGAAAACACAGTGATAAGTTGATATTACCTGGTATCCAAGTGCCACAGCATGATTCTGCTGAAGATGTTAATTAGAGTTCCTTCGGCAAACTCGTCAATACACAAATGGTTAAAATGCCGGCTCAGTCTCGGTGTGATTGTGTTGCCTCCGCCTCCCGGAGGACACATGGCACACATAAACTAAACAGCAATCAACATCAAGCAAAATATCAACGAAATTATATTGTCTTACTTGAATGTCTATCAATTTCATAGAGACAATTTCTTTCAGATCGTACCACATCTCGTGGTCAAACCACTGTCTAAGCAACTCAATCGGAGGTTGAGCGCCGTAAACTTCTTTAAGAGGCATATTAACATCATCCACAAAGATCACACATTTCTTGGTAACTGGTGGACCATACACACCTAACAATATCAACAGTCAGTATATTTGGATAGCGAAAACTGAATTAAGCTATTTTACAGTTCCAAACCAACCATCTA